ACATCACTTTTCCCTGATAGCACCTGTGGGTTCAAGTTCCTAAGCTGTGAAGGTTGAACAGCTACGTGCCATGAAGAATTCATAACACAATCTCCTTTACCTGTAGCGTGCAGTTTTCACTTCTTTTCAGGAATTCAACAAATCTGTCCACCACTCCCTGAGTGTTTATCACTTCATCTATTGGAGGATTTGGCTCTGAAATAGCAAGGCAGTGTCAAAACAGTACACAGGTCTAATGCAGAGGAATAACAAGCATGAACTATTACTGAGTTGAATGCTCTCAAGCTGTACTGAACTCGGCAGGACAACTCTCCAGAATCACTTTCAGTACAGTTCATACAACTGTAAGTCATTAGCAATATACTAGATTATCAGGTTTCTAGTTTATCACTTACTTTCCCCCAGCTCAAAGCTGCTAAGCTTCTGCATAGCAACACACGTGCACAAATGCTTGCAAAAGAAAGGCTACGTCAGATCCTACGGCAGGGATAAGATGAGTTATTTTTACCTTTGGAGAGTAACTTCCTGAATTTCTGAGTGGTTGCTAGCTGTAGGTCAGGGTCATCTGAGAAAAGCATCTCTACCATCTCTCTTGTGATCACTCCCTCCTGAAAAGATGCAAAGGAGAGAACAATGGTTCCATTTCACACTAAGATCATTTAAGGAATCAGTCATGACAGCCTACCGTGATTTTGTGCTCAGCTAGCAATCCAAAGATTCACAATTTGAGATTACAGCACACTATTTACTTCCTGGCAGACTTTTCCAGTTCACTGTAGTAACATTTGCAACATTCTCAAAAGCGTGAAAGCAAAAACACTGAGGATTGTCAGTTCTAGGCAGTCCACAGCACTAAATCTATCTGAAGGCACGACTGCAACAAGGAAAGGCACCTTACCCCACATGTTGTGGAACTAACATAGGAATCCACAAGGAGACTATCAAACATGGAGGCATCTTCATTGATCAACTCCACATTTCTTCTTTTAAAGAGCTGGCAGGGAATAAAACACAGGAGTCATTATTAGAAAGCAATGATGAACAGTATTCATAACCAGACATTCTTGTTCCTCAAACAAGATACCATCAGCTAGACTAAACGCAACCTGAATAGAAAGGTAGCCATTAATAACAGCTCTGCACTCTGAAGACTAGTTTGGCATACAAACCCCAATAATAAAACAGGCTAAGTCTTGCCCTCAAATATGCAAATGCCCAAATCACTGAGACACTGGTACAGACAAGTGCAGAATTTGACCTAACAAGTTAGGGAAACTGGGGAGAAGGCAGCTTGTAGATGACGAACTAACAGAGCAAACATTTAGTCTGAGCCGCATACATCACCAGGGAATCACCTCTTACTTTCATAGACCTCCAAGCCAAAAAAAACAACAGCTCAGAGTTAAGAAATACACACAGCCCATACTTTCACTTGCTCTTCCTGCTTCTTGAGGAAATAACCCCATTCACTAATTAATTAAAAAACCTAAAAAAATAACACCAAGAAACTTAAAAACAAGGATCTGTGAACAAAAACCTCTAGTACCCCAAGGACAAAGTGCTTGGAGAGCTCTTGATGTGAGCTACACTCTGTACTAGGTACACAGAAAAAGAGAAAAGCAAGATCTCAATTAGAACAGGAAAAATAAGAGGACTGCCAACAAACCTTAGTGCACAGATCCTTGAAGATTCCAGTTTGGCAGCAGCACAATCCTGGTTGTGTTAAGGCTGTACACAAGCTAGTCAAGATGACAGTTACCTGTTGCTCTCGTTTCTGTTTGCGCAGTTGAATTCCTTCCTCTTCTCTTCTCCGACGCATTTCCTCGGGATTTAGGGCTTTGTTCTTGTAACTCTTCATTCGATAGTTATCCTTCGCAGGACTCGCCATGGTTTCTGTGAAGAGAAAAAAATATCTGCCTCAGATTTCTTGTCACTCTCTGCCCCTTTACCCACATGTCCTTTCTGACAAGGAAGTCCGTGCACATGGAATAGCCAGATTAAACAGACTGATTTGCAAGAGCTGGTCTCAAACACTACAGTAGAAGCTTCAAGTTAGAGTGGGATCCTAACCTTAGTTCATGTGATACGGGTGTTATGGCAAGAGTGTTACGAAGTTTCTAGGAAGCAGTAAATCTAAGAGTAGATTTACTGTTCTGAAAGGAACCCGGACCCAACTTCACAATACCGAGCACATTACCCATACGAACGGCTTCTACTCAAACAGCTTCACTGTCCTCCAGAGGTGCATAACTAAATTCTACTTTAGTTTTCAGCAGAAATTATTTCCATTGCATCATCATGGCATAAATCACACCTTGACTTTTTCTCCCACCTCCCCAGATTGGGAGGTTCACTGTGTATGCATGGCAAAAATCCAACAGAACTCACGGCAAACTGAGGCCTTGATTTTATAACAACAATAAAAAACCTTGCAAAAAGCAGAGCTGTACATAACATATAGGTCATGTTTGTCCCGCCAGGTCACTGCAAGTGTTCAGTACCTGACCTACTTATTTTGCTGCTTCATATCTGACTAATGCAGTACTTCAAACTTGATTACTCGTGTATTTGCCTCCTAGTCAGGGAAGTGACACTCCACTATTTGGCAGAGTTAAAGGCAACCAGGGCCAAGCAGTAACCCGAGTACAGAGGGATATCAATTTCTCAGCTGCATCCAGCTATAATGCACTGCTTTGACCACGCCGACTCCTTTTTGCCTCTTTCCAAACTGTCCCTTTCTCCCATTTACGATACAGATTATTTAACATCTGTGTCTTTCCCCGGACAAGGGGGAAGCAATCACGATACACAGCGTCAGAGCGCCAATTAACCCTGAGACCAGCTTACTCTTCTCCAGAAGTCTGCTGGACACCAATATCTTTGTTTTCTTCCAACTGCCAAGGGCAGGTGGAAGAAGTGTTCTGTGAAAGTTTGCAGCATTATCTCCTTACCCCTCCCTCTTTCAGGCTTTGAGCGCTCCTCAGCCACATTGCTTACAGAAAGTTTCAGTCTGACTTATCAACTGCCTCCAGCCATTCTGGAGCTCTTCCAAGATCAGCTGGAGAAGTTTCAGACCTTACTGCCCTCCTACTAGGAAAGCCCATGGCCAAGCCAAGAAAAGACATATACAATGTACAAATATCCAACATTTCATTGCTAGGGAAAAGAGGAAACAACTGGAAGAATTCATATTTTAACAGGAAAGGAAACAAAATACTTTCAGTTCCATGATTTCCCGAAAATAGCTAAAAAGACACCAAGCATTGAGAAAAAGTCAGACTCCATAGCACCTGCTTTCTAAGAGGGCATGCTCTTCCCTAGCCAAAACAGCAAGAGGACATTCTTCTGAAAAGCAATAGATAAAGAAAAAACCACCAAACCCCAAATTCCTCTGGTCGTTTACACTCTAATAGAGATGCCCATCCCTGGCAAACAGCCCTGACCCCAGGCTGTCCACAGTTGTGAAACAGTTTTGAAGCTCAGCAAGCAACAGCTGCACCCAGAAACAACACACCGGGCTTGAAAAGGTGCAGCATGATGGGTTGCGTGTTTACTGGCACCTCTGAAGCTAGAAAGAAGCCACCAACCACAACTCATCATCAGCAAAAGCAGTAGTCCAGTGCCCGGTTAGAAAGCCTTTTTTCAGTAACTTGCTTAGGGCACAGTTAGTGGCCAGAAGTTGTAAGAAAAAGGGACGACGTCACGCTGAGCGCCAGGAAGAGGCAAACAGCCTCAAAACTGACTGTGGGATTGAAGCCATCAAATTACAGTAGGTCTTGCAAGATCTTGAGCCTCACAGTTTACCTTTAGTCCCTTTCCAAAGCACCACATTTTATAAGGTCTGGCCTCAATAAAACCAAGGCAAGACACCTACTTGCAACACTACACCTGGCAGCTGGACTATACCTTGCTGACAGCCTCACTGTGAAGCCTGTATTAAACCATTAATTTTTTCCTGAGTTCATTTCTCACGAGTCAGGTTCAGAGGCATAGCTGACCTGTTTCTAAAGGTATTTGACAGCACTTTCCTCATTCTAAAAAAACAATCACATGGCAAAGAACAGCAGAGATTGAAGATCACAGGAACTACGCAACTGCTCCCACTTGTCCATCCCTCTTCCCAGCAGCACTGCATACCAAGATTGGAAGAATTTATTATTTTTAACTGAAAAGCAGGTAATTCAGAAGATAGAAGACTTTAAAAAAATCTACAGGCTTTAGAGGTTTATATCTGATCTTACAGTAGCAAGGTGTGTCATCTATATATGGATTTTAACTCAGGAAATGTATTTAACTACCACTGTTTTGTCAGCGTATTCATATTACTACCCCAACGCTAACAGCTGATACAGCCACACAAAAGAGTAAGAGTTGCTAGCTTAATTCTGAAGATTACAACAGAATCCCTAACAAAGACAAGTTTGTTACCTCCCTTTGGAAAGCTAAGTCTCCAATTAAAAGGTAGTTTTTAAGAAAAGGAGGAGGAAAAAGCAATTAAGTGACTTAACACTGTAGGCAGGATTACCAGGCAGCTAGTCATGTAAATAGCTAAGTGACACATGACAGTTCAGCTGCCTCCAAACTTGCACAACCCCACTCAGCTGGGCACACCCCGGACCCTGCTCCGGGTGTCTGGAAAACAGCCAGAGACTCTCGGCCATAAGACTTTGTCTCCGAGCACACTCAGCACGCCCAGCACCTTGTAGTTTAAGGCTTTGTATTTCCAGAGCATCAAGAACACCGTTATACTGCAGGGAAACCCCAAAGATACGACTCGCCCCTGAAGAGTGATTTTTCACGTCGGCTGTGTAACAGCACATCGCTGGGCAGCAGTCTCTCTGGCACCTGACTTTCTATTTTCTCTCGCACACGTTTCTCTCTTCAGATGATTTCCACTGACTTTTTCCACAGTCCATCATCTGTGTCAATACTTCAATGACATTAGAATGCTAATTTGTTACATTACACCCCATTTCCATGGCAATGGATGAATGTCACAAATGCAGGATTATGACTTCATGGTGAGCTCAGCAGATGCTGTAGGCACCACAGACTGCAGCAAGCCCAATCACACCAAACAAAACAGACAGGAGGGTGCCAGGCACATACAAATTCTTTACTTGTAGTGTTTCAGTACAAAACATCTAGCTCATCCATTGTATCTGCAAGTCAGGCTTCATCATTAGCTATTAACTCAAATTCTATCAGCGTGAATACCCGCAAAACAGTCCCACCAAATCAGACTGTTGGAGTAACCTGGACTGTCAGATTAGGGAAAGCAATCATCTGCTCGTAGATGAGTGATGCACAGAAGATACTCAAGCCACAGATTTTCACTTTGCATCTTTTCATTGTTGCTCTGAGAAGTTTTGCTTTTACAGAAAAGCTCTCGACTGTAAAGTGGCAATGGAAACTTAACTACAGCAAGTTTCTTTAACTGCTCTAAAGTTTTAGCTACTGCATTTAGGCAGCCACCTTAACCTCTACAAAATGCTGTCCTACTAGGACAGCACCTTGCAGTGCACCTCTCCTAGGAAAGGCTTTTCTCCTGTAAGAGCCAGCTAAGCTTTGCCTTAAATGAAGATAGTATCAGCTCACACCCTAGAATTACAAAATTGTTCTGATGTTGTTCCAGCCAGAACTCCGGGGCTCCAAGCTTACCTGCAGCGCTCCAAGGAAGCTGGGCAATAAGGCTTTTTCCTTCTATACCACAGCTGCTCACCCGGAGCATTTGTGCAACCTGCAGCTGCTCCGGGTACCCCTTTTTCCTGAGACCACACCAAACAGACTGCACACCAGATAAAACTGTTCTGGCAGTGCCTGCAGCCTGCTCACCACTTATCTCTCCCCAGAAGCCACCACCCTGACCATCCTCCTGGCACGACAGGTACAGGTACCCATTGACATGGTGGGGAAAGGCTGCAGGCACCCAAGCCCAGGTGCCTGGGGCACAGTGCTGTGAGCCCATCTAACAACTTGCTGAAGAAAGAGGACAGGCTTACTGCACATCTTCCAAATATCTCAGCACATGGCAACGCAAGAGGGATACGCAGGCATTTGGACAGTACGGCCAGACACCACAATCCCAGCATCATCCCTTCACAACAGGCATAAAACCATATTTTCACCCCCAGAGCTGCTCAGGCGGCTAAACTCAACCCTGCCTGCCCAGGTGCAGAAGCACGCCTGTGTGGGAGCAGTACTGTTAGGCAAGGGCCGGAGCTTGCCCTGTTCTACTAGAATATCAGCGCAGCATGAATATGTTGTTGGAAAAGAAAGGAAAACAACAAGAATTAGGACAGAATTAGAATGAGGCACCTCCTCCACCAGTGGAAAAAGAAACACAAGCTTTTCCAAAACCAGCAAAAGCCAGTCCAGCTACCTATGTTTCAGGCCCTTGCTTATGCTTCATTCCTCCTGCTGCAAGAGACAGCCTAGTTTTCTAGGAACCTGGTTTCCTCCAAGTTCAGCATCCCTTCAATTACCCCGGAACAGTACAATCTCTACCTTGTCCTTTTCCACTGGTCAATTAGAACGGGCTACTGGACGTCCCTTTGAAGTACCCGTGTTTTCCTCAGCAGTATATTGCCATTCCTGACCACTGGTTACAGAGGGGCTCAGCGGGCATTACCCTTACCTCAACCTCGTCGGTCCAATTCGCCTTCCCTAGGGCAGAATTAAAAACTGCTGAGGTAAAAGCTTGTATTGTGTTAAAAACCTGAGTCTGCAGAGCTTTCAACCCATCTCTTCCCAACACCTCTGCAGACCAAACACCTCCACAAATCTACAAGAGTTTTAACACCATTTCCAAATGTGAAGAACACTTGAGAATCTGCTCAAACCCTCACAGAGTTCACTCAAGAAAACAGTACACTTGGACTTGCAAGACTGACTCCATTTAAAATAGTGTTCTGACCGAGCTTAGACATCACTTCTGCTCTAGGAATCCCCTGACCTCACACAGTTCCTTAAGTCAGGGCCTTTTGTAGCCGAGTACCTCCCTGCATTAGTGAACTTTATTCACAGCAGCTCCACAGAAAAAAGTGACAGTATTTGCATTTCAATAGTTCTCCTATTGAGCATCCAAGCTCTGCACCTCCAGTCACATCTGCCAACTATATTATTAGATATTAAATTCAGTGCTAACAATACATTAAATAGATCTAAGAATTATCAGCCTGCATATATAAAGATTTATTTCTATATCCTGAACATGTAACAACATGTAACCCTGGCTCTGCAGGACAAATTTTGAAATCCATTTGTACATGTTTGATGACTTGCTTTAATAAATCACCGCTACGTAAAGCTTTGCTCAGGCACCTCAGAGACCAGGCAGATGTAAGGCTCACTAAAAAAGCAGAACACTTGCCAGTCCCGGCTCAGAGGGACTCCTCTGTCCTGAGGAAAACAGCAGCAATTGGAAAACTTGGCAGAAAGGCCAAAAGGGAGCATGTACTAAGTGTCAGAAGCATTAGCTTTTATTTCTTAGCTACACAAGTGGCTACGCAGGGTGACGTGCTCAAGGGAAGTCTGTAACTCGGTTTAGCGACAGCTGATGAAGCCACTACCTGACCAGCTACAAACAAGGACCGGGATCGAAACAGCGACATGAGTTTAGATGCGTCTCCATCACCCTGAGCCAGAAAGAGAGACAAGGCCAATATCAGGCAAGTAACTCTGCTCACTACTAACCAGGCACGAGTAAGTTGCTGCAATGATCTGCTAACTAAGGTCATTTCACAGCACGAAGCAATTAGCTGCCTTCCCAGGTCCATATTAAACGTACATGTAAGCCCAATACTGATACACCTTTCAGGATTGCAAAGCATCAGTGAGTTAAAATACATTTTTATAACTTTTTAGAAGACTGTTTGCCTACATTCTCAAAACTCACACCACTAAAAGCCCACATGAAACCAATCGGCTTCTCCATTATTCTTCTTCCTTAGTCTTCCCAGAGATAAAAGTTGCCTAAGTGGGATTTTAAAGCCACTATGAGATCGTGCCTCCTAGCATATAGCACATCTTTGGCATAAACATTAAAAAGTCCCCATGCCAACAATTTCTGAATGCTAACACCTTTGGAATCAAATTATTGATAAAAATTGGTCCATTAAAACCAAAGCAAGGCTTTATTAAGCTAATAATTCATACTGGGAATGACTTCAGGTGTTCTGCGAGCTGAGAATCCTCTTGCAAGAGCTACAGGAGCAGTCAAACTTAGGGATGAAGCTTAACTGAACAATACCTCTTCAATTCCTTGTGCAAAGGAAAGCCCCTCAGGAGATGGAAGAAATTTGGCTCCTGCCGTAGATTTTGTTGGCAACGGTTGGCTTCACTGAGGAAAAAAAAAGTCCTCCAGTTGTCATATAAACCAAAGAATTACTAGTACAGGTTGCCACACTCATCCTTATATATTGAATGATGAGAAGGTATTTACCACTTAAAAGAAAGAAAAACAGTGTGAAAGTTTGACTTTGAAGGCTCAGCAGAGCACTCAAGTCCTGTAAGCATCTGTGCAAAAGCCAACATAAGCTACAGCAGTTCAGCCAGAAAACTCTAATTCCAGGGTCATTACTGCCACGCCAAGATTATAACGGCTTCTTAATGCTACTGGATCAGAAACCCAGCCTTGCTTCTTTCCAGATGACGCTCGTCCCATTTCCCTGCATTACAAAAAGCATTTGCTTCAAACAGTTTTTTCAGCTGCTGATTAAAGCCTCCAAGCTGAGTCACTGCAGGGACTCACATGCCTACATTAGGACTTGTGCTGCTGAGTCAGACCAAAGTGACAGAGCAGAGAAACAGTTACGCTGACAGATCTGACAAGGCCTTTTTTAAGCCAAAACACCCTTTCACAAAGGTAATCTTCACAAGATATCTATTACAGTTCTGTTGCTCGGCATAAGACACGTACCTAAGGCAAAGCCCGGCCAAGCCAGGAAGGCTGACAGCTGCATGTTTGGAGTGGAGAAGGGTAGTAAAATTATGCAAGTGTAAATGAATACACTTGATGAAGTCCATCAGCACTGATCTGCCAATTAGTGCCCACTGGGTACATTCCAAAGCTTCCCAGCTCTGAGCAAGCACTGGGCCAGATGACCTCCAGAGGCCCCTTCCAGCCGAAGTTCTCCCTGTGATAGTATAAACTTGGTCAGTTACAATTAACTCCCCCGCCTGAATTCGACAAGCAGTAGCAAAACACACTCGGAGAACTCCTAAGTTTCATTTGACAAGCCTTACTGACTCTATTCTTTGGGTTTCTCCTGCCCAGCAGGAAGTTTCTCCATTTCATATACTTACCTGAAAACCCAGAGCAACCTCCCACCTCCTCCTGCCTCCCCGTTTGCACAGGCTCTGAGCTAAATACACATTCCTACAGCACCACACTCCTGCTGCAAGAAAGTCCATCAGCAGCACAGGAACGATTACTGCTGTTTGCTGCCCTTGGTCTCCTCGTGTTTTCTCCTGACCGAATTGCAGGGAGATAGAGATAAACCACATCAAATTCACATTAGTCGCCAGCCCCCTCCAGGGTGCCAAGGAGCTTCAGACGCTGAAGAGGAAAGACAGGACTCTTCTGCAACAGTCACCAGGACAGTAAGCTTGGTAGGTGTCTTTCTCTGCAGGATCCGCGTTCCACAAAATGCCTCTGCTTTCAACACTACATCCTCCAGGAACAGAAGAGAGTTGAAGTAAACTGGTTTAGTAGCTGCAGACATCAGAGCAGTTCGGATCACACAAAGAAAATGAACATTTAGAAGAACAAGCTAGCAGTGCTAAACCAGAGGTTTAAGACTCTAGTCATCTCCCCCGACAATGTTAAAAACTACATGTGCTATTCAAGCTATCTCCAATTACAGCTACTGAGGCATTTCTTTAAAAAAAAAAATCAAAGCATTTGTGATATTTTTGGATGTGGGGAGGAGGGACCTGTAAGAGTATGCCAATCATCTTCTGAGGCTGCACACCCGAGTCGGCAGTGGACATTAGGCTGACCACATGTTACTGCTTCATG